CTCTTCTTTTCATTTGTTGAACTAAAGGTGTTCTTTGAATCAACTTATGAATGCAGAAAAAAAAAGAAAAAGTTTAATCAGGCAAAATGAAAATGAAGAAAAAACCGGCGGCAAACAATTCATATATTGGGTACAATGAATTTTCTATTGATTTGCAATTTCAGTTCAGTTAAATTTAAGTTTCATCAAGTTAATTTCATCTATCTATCTATCCTATTATTAGTTTTATCTGGTCTTGACATTTTTTTTTTGTTTTGTTTTCACCTTGTGATCACTTTATTGTAAAAAAAATGAATATTAACTATGTCTAAAAACAAAGGTGATTATGTTTGAATAAAATGAAAAGAAATATAATGATAGCTTTAGGCTTGATGATGATTATTGGCCAATCTGGAATATATATTGTTTTTAAATGGTTCATTATAACTTTGTTTCTTTTAAAAATGATCAGGATTGAAATAAAACATTATTGTTCTGTTTGTTGTCATCATCTGATGATGACAGTGAGAAAAAAAAATGTCAAATCGAATAACATTGTGACATTCTTTCTGTTGTTGTTTTTTGATGACAATTTTCTTTACCTTAATACACCCAAAAAATACATTCTAGTTACTTACTTATTGATTTTGTTTTTGTATGTTTTTTTAAATCTATCGTGCTTTGGATAAATGTCGCCAACGTCTCAATAAGGATATAACATTAGACATTTTTGTTGTTGTTGTTGTTGTTGCTTATCATAATACAAAACTAATCCAGATGGATAATTTATTATTATTTTGTTTTCGTTTTTTTTATTATTTCAAATTCGAATCCAATTTCTAATTAAAAGTAATGATGACGAGAAAACTGTTGAAGAGCCTGGCCTTTATATGGAATTTTATGGGGAAAAAAATTTTTGCCATTATTTTTTCAATGGAATTCAATATGAATGATGAAAAAAATATTGAAATATGATTTTCATTTTCAAATGATACCTGAGTGATATTCAATCCTTTTTTTTGTGGAAAATCGATATTATTCGATGCACAAAGTTTGCATCAACAAACATACATAGCATATTTCAATGTCATTATTGATTGATTTTTTTTATAATAAAAAAAATCATTGGTAACGTATTTGAATGACAAGTTTTTTTTACTTTTTCATTTTTTTATGGCCATGATTTTAATTTAAAAACTCAAAATTAATTTTCTCCTTATCCATTGATTCCATTAACAACAACAACAACATTTATCATCAATGATGTTTGATAAATGAAAAAAAATTGGTAGCCAAATCCTTGATGACATTTTGATCCAACGAAAAAAAAAGAAAACATTTTGAGAAAAATTCCTATTGAGATTGTCTTTTTTTTTAAAAAAAAACTTTATTAGTCGATGATAAAAATGTTGTTTCTAATGGAAAAAGACATTTTCTTTTTTTGATTATCTTGTTGAAATTTATTAGTGTTTTATTTTTTATTAGATTAAATCCGTATCTATCATCGAAGGATTATTATTAGGTAATCAAATGATCAGTAGAGAGGGAGAGAGAGAGAGAAATTGATTGTAAAATTTGTTACACTATATTATGATGACGTTAGTTGGATGTCTTTGTTGTTGTTGTTGATTACTTTCAGATATCGATGATGATGATGACGATATTGGAATTCAACATTAGTTCAAATCATCAACATTTTTATGTGTGTGCCTTGTACAACTTTCCAGGACAACTTGATTGTCATAAAATTTAATTAAGACATTTTGTTGCTTTTATTTTCTTTTTCGTTCCTGTTTTTGTTTGATTGTCAGTCAACAGAATTTTTTTTTTTGAATTCTCATTTATTTTATGTATGTGTGTTTAGGTATCTGTTGTGTATGGTGTATGTCAAATTATTTTCCTAAAAACAAATTTTCATCATCATCATCATCATCACGACGGTTATTAGGCGAATTGCATAAAAAAGGAAACCCAGAGAGCGAGAGAGAACAAGCCATATATATATTTTTATATTTCCAAATTTGTATCATGGGTATATTTTTCCTGTATCCGTTTATTTATGGTGCATTCTCAACTGCTTGCACATAGGTACATATGCATCTGGTGCCCCAGAACAAAAAAAACGAAAATTTAAACAGTGCCAGAAACTAACAAACATTCCTTTTCAACCAGAAAAAAAGATTCAAAAAAAATTTGTAATAATTCATTGCTCTCTGTGTATAATAAATTTCAAAATTCTGTAAAACATTCTGTATTTATTATATATACAACCATACACCATACACACACACACACAGAATAATTTCGACATCTTATTTTTCAATTGTAAATGTTTAATAATAAAAAAATCTTATATTTGCTTTATTATTATTATCATTATCAATAAATATACCGTTGTTTCATCATCATCATCATCATCATATATGATATATGATACACTACATACATATTGATATAGTGTGTGTGTGTGTGTGTATACTTTGCACATGATTTTTTATTTTGTTTCGTTTTGCTTTGTTTGCTTATTTTTCCCATACATAACATTATACATACATGTAACAGCCATTCACACACACAAACACAAACACCTACATTATATGAGGCAAATATAAACATTTTCTTTTTCATTTTATCATCATCATCATTATTGGTGTGTTTAGTGTGTTTAGTGCAGTCGATATAAATTGCTGATTTTTTTTTCATTTCGATCATTCTCATTCGAGGTGTGTATCACAAAAAAATGATTGAAAAATTCAGCTCATTCAAACGCACACACAATGATGATACACATGGATGATATAATGATTAGAATTTGATAATGATAATTCAACAATGACAATCAATTTTTTTTCTAGCTGCACACGCTGTATCATTACACTCGTTTGTTTGTTTCGTTTCATTTGTTTCCGTGATAAAATTTGGGCAAACGAAAAACCTTATGATGATCATTTCATCTTTCAATTATGATCAACACTTGATTCTTTCTGATCTATTTTTGTTTTGTTTTTCTCGTTTGTTTGTTTCAGTGTGTGCAACTTGATTACTTGTAATGGAAAAGTTTCATAATAATTTAATGTTCAGTGGTTATTATTATTAATAATTTTTTTTGACATCTTTGAGTTTCCAACGGATCCAATTAAATTTGCGAATCTTTTCCTTTCTAATGTTGCAATCAAATGTTTATAATAATGATCATTGATAGATGATTATTATTAAAATCAAAATTCTAGTGACAAAAATAATAATTATAAATTAATCAGTGGTGGTGGCTTGTTGTAAAAATTTATTAATTACAAAAAAAAATCTTTCCACCAATCAATTTCGATGAAATTTTCTCTGTGTGTGTGATTATTTGCCCAAATTACAAACTAACTAATCAAACCAAACATATTCTTTTAACTTATTTATAAGTTTACTATCATCATCATGATATTTGATTTGAAATCTTCAACAGTGGTTGGTTATTTATAAACACACACGCAAACCAAAACTAACCTAAGCAATTCTCATTAATAAATATTATTATTAAGTTAAATAATCAAAGTTTGTTTGTTTGTTTGTTTCAAAATCTTCCTGCAAAATGAAATGAAATTAACAAAAATCACCACATGTTCAGATGTATACAACATGATAAGCAGATAAGAGAGAAAATAACCGCATTATGAATTGCATTAAAGCCAAAAAGTTTTCAGTTTTTTTCTGGTTACATTACATACAATTTTATTGTGATTAATATGGCCAAAATGAAATGAAATTATCCAACTGATGAAGATTATTTTCAATGTTTTTTTTTGTGTACTTTCCATTGATGATTCCATCGATTTTGTGTAATGAATATTGAAAGAAGAACATGATGATGATGATTCATTCATAGTTGTTGTCATTTCGGAAAAAATAACCCGTTATGATGAAACAGGGGAACAAAACAAAAATGAAAGAAAATTGTTTAATTTAATAGCTGTTTTGTCAAACAAATTAAAAAAAACATGTACACATAATTTGTTTGTAATTTACTTTTAAATCCATCCAAAAAATTCATCAAATCAAATTCTGAATGTTTCCTGTCAGTTGGTTGTTGTTGTTTGATGTTTGGTGGCCCGAAAAAACCAATGTTTTTTAAATTTGCAAAAATGATAAATGTCTTTTGTTTGCAAATTATGATATCTGCTACTGTGGAAAACTTTTTTTTAGAAAACTTGAAATTATAAACTTTTTGAAGAAAAAAAAATCATATTTTTCAACTAAAATTTACTACTGTTTTTCTACCTGTGTTTTGTATTGTTGTTTTTCATATTTCGCATTCATCACATGTATTTTTTTACCATGGTTACCATGGATTTCTGTGTTTATTTTGTCTTCTTCATTCTTCTTCCTGATTGTTGTTGTTTTTTCATTGTTGAATCAGAAAAAAATATTTGAATGAAATCATCATCAAGATTTTCTAATCATATTTGCTTACCTGCCATCATTTGTTATGATTATTGATTTTTTTTTTGTTGACTAAATCAAATGAAATTATTCATTTATGAAATGTTTATGAAAATAATGTTAATCAAATGATCCGTCCATTTTTATTATTTATTTATTCAAATTATCATTGGAGAAAATCTTATAAAGCGTTACTGAAATCAAAATATATACATTGGATTTGCAGTTATGATTGTTATCATCATGATATTTTGGAATACCATAGATGCATTCTGGCAATATATTCGTCAACATCAATTAAATAATAATAATAATAATAATAATCTAACTGTACGACATTCATTCAATAATGATGATGATGCTATTGATGATGATGAAAATTTAAATGTTGATCAAACAACAACAACAACAGCCAATATAAACAATAATAACGATACAATTAATGAACCAATATCAACAACAACAACAACAACAGAATCATCAACAACAGATGATTGTTATATTGAACATCATCATTCTGATCGAAAACAGCCAAAACGAATGAAAATTTTCGCAAACAATAGCAAAAATAAATACTTTCACAATGATGATGATTATGATGATAAAAATAACAAAAATTTAAAGAAAATTGATGAACAATCAATTGAACAACCGCCAATATTGTCAGAAAAATCGGAAAATTTTTTTCTAAATCGTTTATTTAATTCAATAACAAATTCATTTGTTATGACAAATATGAATAAACATTTGAATAATATACAGAATTTTATGGATAAAAAAATGGCATCAACAACAACAACGACGACGACAACAACAACGATGACAACAATGACAACAACAACAAAAGAAATCATAACAACATCAGCTACCAAAATGACAGATCAACAGAATATTAATGATTCGAATCAACAAATGAATGTTGATGATTCTGATGATCATCAACAACAACATGAACGTCATATACCATATCATATGTTGGATAATATTAATGATATAATGATGAATAATCAAACGAATAATAGTAATCATAATCATCATCATCATCATTGTTGTAATAAATATCATCAAATTGATTCATCATCATCAACAATATCCGAACAATATTGTCCATTTATAATAATACGTGAATCACCATCAAATGCAACAACAATTTCTACAAATAGTTTATTAACACAAGCAAGTAATTATACAACAACACAATCACCATATCAATCAAGTGCTGAATTTGATTTAAATTCTGATTATAGTGGTGGTGGTGATGGTAGTAGTAGTGGTTGTATAATTGGTGGTGATTCTAGCCATTTACATAAACAACATCGTGCTTCAACCGGAACATTATTAGTTGCCCGGCCAACCGCATCATCATCAACAACAATAACAACAGCCAAATCAAAGCAACAACAATTATTTCAAACAAAAATATCATCATCACGTAATAGTGTTGGTAGTAATCAACCAACAATAAATAAAAATCTTTATCATTCTCGTCATCGTCATTCATCTTCAGCTGTCATTGTTAATCATCATTTTAATTCAACTTCTGTATCTGGACAGATTTCATCATCAAATTCAATTTATGGCAGTAGTATTATTGGTGCCAATAATAGTAGTATAGGTTTACCAACATCAACAACAATAACACGTAAACATCGTTCATCATATCCATCATATAGTATACGTAATTCTATATCAGGTATACCTTTACGTATCGGTCCAAGACTTTATTCGGGTCGATCATCACAAAGGTTCGCTTTATTGATGTATATTTTTTCCCTCAACTTCTTTATTCTTCGTTCATTTTGGTTTATTTAATTTTCATTAACTGGAACTGTTTGTTTGTTTGTTTTGGATTCATTAATCATTCAGGTGAATGAAAAATGATGATCATTTTTTCAATTTACAAAGAAAAAAAAAACAAAAATCAAATTTAATAATCCGCTTAACAGCGACCTCTTTGGATTGAATTTCGAATGAAACAAAAAAATAGACGATTTTTTTTTGGTTGAAACATGCGCAATAAAGCTGTTAACTTTGACTGACTGACTGACTTTGATCATCATCATCATCGTTGTTATTATTATGGATGGATCGATCGATTTATTCGATTAAAAGATGATCCACATTTTTTTTCCAGGGAAAAACAACAAATTATGAATTTTATATGCGCAATCGCAGACAAACAGAAACAGAAACAATCCTTATTTATTCATTATTATTATTATGCATTTTGATCGATAAAATTTAATCATCATCATTGTTTGTTTGCCCATTTCTACATTGTTTTTATTATTATTATTATTTTTTTTTTTTTTGGGGGGATTTTCTATTACATTTCCCAAATTACAAACAGAAAACAAATTAAAAAAAAGTAAATTGACCGGGG